GTGTACCTACAACTTGCAATTAGGTTGGAGGCCATTGCTATTAGGGTGGAGGCCATGCTGCTACTAACTATAAACTACATACCGCCCATTATTAGGTTGATCATTTCACCTCAACGTTTCGGTGACCTCTTCTTCACCCGCGGAGGAGAGAGCGGCGAGGAGGGAAACCTTTGCCTCGCAAGGTCTTGAGCAGGTGAGATCTCGGGGTTCATTGTCGGGGTTGATCGGACTTTGGGTGTCAAAACAAGAGAGAAGATATCCTGGACCAACAAAGAAAGTGGCTAGCTTGCCTTGCCGCCCTTGCCTTGTATCATATGACAACATATATGGTTTTCTTCAGGATGATGCCAGGCGATGGGTTGTAACTAGGAGTGATTTGCTGGAGCTCTTGACTCAAAAATCATTGTGCCTCCCAGTGTGTTTGTTGGTTTAATCTTGAGGACCTGACAGTCGGTGATAGTTTTTGCAAGGAACAAGACTCTGTAACAAGACCCGACGACAAAGACGCCGCTATCCAAAGACTGTATTTTGCTTGAACCTGATGTGGTCCTACGAAGTAAGATACTGCTGAGGGGATAAGCGAACAACAATTTTCACAAGGATGCTAGTTTTAAATAGCTTTAAATACCACCTCTAGCTCAAAAAACATGATACCCACTTCGTAGGTTTTACTCCTACCCTATCAATGGATCACCTGAATAAAACAGACTGGTGGAAAAAACACCACCTGATGAAAACACCTCATTAAAACAGACTGGTGGAAAGAGGTTAACCAGTACCTTCAGTTCATGACCTCTTTGCAGTCTTTGAGTGACCTTGCGCCGGCCTGTTTGTGAGGGAAAATCCTGGTATATCAAGGAAGTCACGAACTGACGGTCCTGGCCCAGACACTCCATGCCACTCCGTGTATCGCATATTTACATACATTCGGGTGGTTTCATGGACAGACATGGGAAAACTGGAGAATCCTCCTCGAGTCCCGTTCATATCTCCGTGCCACACGGACGGTGGTGTCCGCACCGCACCTTGTTTTTGGTTTTCGGAAATGCATCTCCCCGAGCTGGACTGTCAAACATCTCCGAAAATGGGAGGTTTCATTCCATCAACATTAACGTGTTGCTTAATGAACCTATTGCCATCTATTGCAATATACCTGGAGTCTCAGTTCGTACCTCCGAACATGGGTACAGTGGTACCTCTTTGGAAAATTGCGCATGTCCTTTTGGATTGCGTTTCGATGTGTGTTCTGTTTGTTTCCAACAACCAGCAGACACAAAGGGGTGCCTATTGGAGGATAGGGGTGCCCATTATTCACTCACTGGATGGGACTAAAAACCACCCCTTTGTGACTTCTGGAGGTGTCTTGTTCAAAAAAGATCGACACTTTGGGTCCCAAATTTGACCTTTGGTTTGGAGCTTCTGCCAAAGACCTTCGATTACCACGAAGCTTATAGGTGCCTTCGATGACCAATTCGTTGCATCCGTAGATGTGTTTGCAACGCCGCCAGAACGCCATTTCGGATGTTGGAACCCCCGGTGTCCCACCGGCGGCGTCCCGGTCGCTCAGGTCGGTGCCTGATTTGAAAGCTCAGGTGGGGCGAGAAGGAAGGGAATGAACAAAACAGGAACTGAAGAATAGCAACGATATATTATATATTATTAGTTATTACTATATGATTGTTCTTATAATATTAGGAATCATTATCATGATGTCCTGGATTATGTTGCTGTTCGAACTACGTATCTATACAATATATATATATATATTATGATATGAATAGTACGTCAGTAATACCTTTTGCTCCTAAGGTATCCAAACGTATGGTGATATAAACTCCTAGCCTTCTGTTGCTTGATCAATTGAGTGGAACGATAAGCTCAGTGCGGAGGGCACAACCCAACGTGCGTCACTCTGAGGCACCGCCAGCGTTGGGTAGCCCAGCGCCAGGGATGCTTGAAGCCTTTCGAAAATGCATGAGCAACCCATTGGTTGGATAATGTTGAGGAGAGTCTCCCTATTACAAAAATGCACAGACAAGGCTGACCGCAACCTGTCTGCCGTAAGTCCAAATGTTTGCTGAGGAGCATGCAGCGAAGCGCCTCGGGGCTGGAAAGCAGGCCCGCTACGAGGGGACACTTTTCGAGCAATAACCAGGTGTCGTCTGACACTTTGGGAGCTGAGTTTCCAGTTTGTTTGGCCTAGCAACTTGGCAAGGGACGCCATCAACTGTTGCTGCTCAGCCTTGCTTTAAAGGAAGTATATGGCAAACATTGGCAAACTCTCAGAAAATTGGATTCCGTATTGTTTGAATGTAGGCCAACTTGACTTGCACATTCCCTGAGCTGGGATCACTTCATGACAACTTTAGCTGGTCAAAAGAATATTCAAAGACTTTGTGGTTGCTTTGTAGACTTCAAAGACTCTCCCCTACTGACTGTAGCTGGTGATTCACACATCTTCTTCAGCATGGTTCTTGCAAACATATATTGGAGATGAGACGGCCCTAGGTCCTCCAAGGATTCTCGAATGATTTGTTTGCTGGCAAATTCTATAGGCTGAAACACCTGAAACCCATATGCCTATAGGATCCTATAGGTATAAACACCTATTCTATAGGTGTTGTTGCTATATTTCGGCAGACACCTATAGGACCTCGCGTGCTCGTTGAAGGGAAACAGAAGGGACCTGACTTTGCGCAGGACAGCTCCCTCTGCTCCGAGTGAGACTGCGCCAAGACCACGAAAGGTGCGGCCATTGATGTGCAATATTGCAGATGCCAACACTGCTGGCAACAGCCGCATCAGCATATTGTGTAGCAATGTATTATATATGTATTATTGTGATTATGACGTATTCAGGAGCAAACAAACTATGTAATATATAGTACTAGTAATAGATTAATGAATATATATATATATTATAGACTTAATTAGATATATCAGCACCTTCCAAGCGTCGGCAATGGAAGCCCCTGTCATATTTCAATTGGTCCTATTATCATATTTCATCAGGAAATGAATGGACCCCAAAGATTTGCGTTTACGTTCCTGCCGTGATGCCAGGAACGTCGCCCTGCACCCTACGCAGTCTCGATCATGGAAGAGGACGATTTTTCCTCGGTCTCCCTCTTCGAGGGAGGTGCAGTTCGTCGCAACGTAGGTCTGTAAGCCTCGTTTCGACCAATACACATAAGTTAAAATAGTTAAACTCATCGAACATCATGAGACCTAGCTGAGAGATTAACAGGGTTCCTCTACAAGCGACCCCTGGGGGTTGTCTTTTTGTTCGCTTGCGCTTGCTTCGGATGCCATGTGCTCGTCGTTGCAGGATGCCATGAGCGAGCGGAGTCGGGTAGAGGCAGCGTCGAGCAGCGGAGCAAGCGTCTGTACAGTGTCTACAGTCACCATCGTTTTTTGCGTCGTGTGGGCAGAGAAATCGCATGTTTGGGGTCTTTAGACTGCTTGGACCATGTTGTCCCCTACACTTGTGTGCTGATCCAGCCACACGAGGAAGTTCCGCAACCGCTGAGTGTTCATTTACGCAAAACCGTAGGTGATCTTAGGTGCTGTTTGGGGTTCCCTACAGCCAGCAACGTTGCAAAAACAACCTGGGAAGACATCATGTACCTAGTTCTGCTTGAGATCCATCCAGAAGACCAATCTATGATAGGGAAGTGTATGGTGGCTGCTATTGGTGCAGGCATCACCCAAGTTGTCATGATTCTGAAGCAGCTAGACTATCAGATTGAACAAATGCTTTATGACTTGTGGTTGTTCGAGTCCTCCGAAACGGGGAGATTAAAGGACAAGGTCAATGTGAGCTGCTTTGAGAAATACTGAATGTAGAAGAACCATGTTCCAGACACTCCCACATTGACCCCTCAAACCACCCCAATGTTGGTATGAATATACTTCAATGAAGCAGTGGTTTCAAGTGTGCTATATCACCCGTTCGATCACCGGTTATTTTTGTTTGGTCGAGTCATTGGTCGGCTCCGTCCGAGTTGCGTTGCTTCTCCGTGAGGTGAAGCCCAAGTATCCGGTGCCCTTGCCACCCAAGTTGAAGCCCATGGATCATTGGGCACCGAAGCTGAACTGGGGCAAGTCGTTGGGCCGACTTGGGTGTTTTGGGGTATGAAGACGTTTGCATGGTTGTCGGGTTTGCATGGTTGTCGGTGGACCTCCGAAGGGTTGGTTAACTGTTTGGTCGTAGGGCCGAAGGGCCTCAGAATTCTGTGGGTGTTCCATCGTTTTGGTGATGTGGATCATGGTGGGAAAGTTCAATGAAGTTTCTATAGGATATGGAATGACATCTATGTAAATCTATTGAAATTTAGTATAAACGACAATCAGTTTCATGATTCAATTGGGGATTCTTCTGTAAAAGCGACTTTGGCAACAGGGACATGAAAGTGGCTTAGTGGCTTGAAGAACAAGAACTGGTTGTTCCTTGTTGGTCAGCATGGGGACAAGTCACATTGCTTACCCAGCAGAAGAGTGTTTTAAGGAACTGAAATACATGCATTGTATACTCTCTTCAAAAGTCTTGGCTTAAATCTCTCCAAAAGAGCCAGTGGGATTTGAGCTAACAGTTGAGAGAAGTGTGTGTATGATTGTGTATGTATCATATTTGTTTGATCTTCTTTAACGATGGTTACTTGCCAGTGTTTTGACTCCCGCGGCCTTGAGTTTGTAGACATTCGCCGTTTGTCTACAGGAGGTGTAGAGATTGTTTGGCAGACCGCCCACAACAACACTATATAGAGACAATTCCTTGGCACCGAGACCCCAGAAGATTGAGGAAAGACTGACAACAAGTTTTGGTCCTGGAAAAACATTCCACTACCTACGGCCTCAGCCACCTGCTTTTTTTCAGTCGGAGGAGAAAAGACAGGTTTTCTTAAAAAACATAGGTTTTCAGAATGTTCAAATCTACAACTCTTGTGTTCACACAATATAATCCTGTGCAACTCTCCCATCCAGCACGCCTTTTTCCTGGCCTAAATGATAAGTCCGGCATCTCTGAAGGCTGCGCATGCACCCACCAACCACCGATCGATGGTTCGTGCCATCACTCTGCGTGAGTTCACATGCCGAGACAATCGTGCTGTCCTTCCAGTCGAATCCTCATCCATTTGACATGAGTGACAAATGGGATTTAGAGCATAACCCACTCTCAAAGAGTCATAGTGGACTGTGCAAAGGATTTCTGCCAGTGCGTGGAGTTTCGGGTAGAGTGGAAACGCATGAGGTTTGCCCACATGGTACTGGATCAATGCCATCTTGGCATACGTAGCCAGGAAAAGAAAACCAGCGTCAGCCACCTTTGTACACTCTTCCTTTGTCAAAAATGCAGCAGCGCGGAACATAACAGAATACATCTGGTTAACAGCCTTGCTTGCTTGCAGGCACTCGGGCAACAACTGTCTTTGGTCCACCTGAAGCTGCGGGATGAAGTCTGTCAAAAAACGCATCAGGCTGGTCGTGAGAGCCCCCTTGTGCCAGTTTCCTGTCAGACCTGTGTAGTCATTGTGACTCATCAGGTGTTGCGTCAACGCATGCACATGCGATTGCTGCTTGTTTCTTTTGCACCAGTGAAGGTAGCTGCTTGACAAGTAATCATACTGTGCATCGATATTCGATCCAGGCAAGACTTCAAGAAGTAACATCACCACCGAAGAAATCCAGGATTTGCCAACACCAAGATGAAAAATGTGAAAACAGTCTGAGGCGAAGAAGGAACTTGGGTCATGTTCATCATGCGGCAAGTGTAGGATCACTGCTGGGGTTTGAACCCAAGGCATTTTGACGCCCCTGGTGTCTAGCCAGCGTGGGTGCCTCGTTGAAAGCTCCTCAGCTGGAAAGCCAGTCGTGCCAGCTAAGCATCGATGGCATACTCCCTTTGGGGGGCGGCGCGCATCACCGCGTTTCGCAAATGAATTGAATGACCGGAACAAGGTCCCCAGCTTGCTCAGGAATGGAGCATCCCCTTTGGCACAAATCACAGCGAATCTGAGAACTTCTTTTGTCACTGGATCTTGAATCCCAGAGGTAAGCAAGTCTTTGAATGCCAATGAAATCTGTTCCATCACAAAATGGAAAACGGAGGAGTCGGCCTCATACAACTTCTTGGGCATGCACACAAGTAGCAGCCGGTGCGTGTGCGTATGCCCTGTGAAGTTTACCCTCATTTGCCACACGCCTCGGTCATCCACCCTGGGCACCCGTTTGTCGTCAAAACCTCGACCAAGAATGCTTTGCCAATTGCACACCATTATTCCCTGACGCTTGAGGCTTGTCCCTTCATCGCCATGAAGACAAATGCCAGCAGTCTTCGCAAGATCTATACCCTCCATCCTGAATAAAGAGAAGTCTGGGCATAGCTCCCTGTACTGCTTCCAAAATTGTCTCCAAATCCCCTCAGATGAAACATAGTCATTGCGTGGTGCCCCTGAAAGGGTAGGCCAAAGACCCATTCTCAGAATCCATCGGGCCCAATCCCGGGGATCAATCCATGGGATCGATGTACCATTGAAAACAAGATGGCTCACAGGAACATCCAACTTTGACTTTTGAATTGTCATCACCTTCTGAGCATCTCGCTCTGAATTTTTCAGTGAGCAGTTGGACCAATGATCCATCCCGCACTTGGCTGCCGGAACGTCTCCAACATCCTCAACAACAGCCTTCGCTGTCAGGATCTGGCTCTTGCAGCTGGCCTCGGAAGACCAGAATTGCCCAACGCCAGGGATTGAACCTTTGACGTGGTAAGCAGATACGCTCGCCTACTTTACCAGGGGTGGTGACTGGCGCTCAAGCACTGCACACTAAACACAGCAAGCAACGGGGCACTGCAAGGAACGTTTTATGGATAACGCTAAGGAATCAACTTGTCTTCGCACAAGCTCACTCTTCCAGAATGTCTAGTCACATTAACCTTGATAGTGCTATTGATCTCTGTAGCTTCCTGTACGATTGAATGTTATAAAATCCCTCAAGGATCAACTGCCCCAACCTGCCCAGATGTTCTTGCATCGAATACCTTGGAGGTGTAAGAGATAACCTACACACTTGTAGAATGTTGACAAACTCACCGTGTGTGTGTGTGCACACGCATGCACACTGACTCATGGCATCCCAGAAATGAAGACCCAACCTCACCCTAATCGATCTGTAGCCAGGGGTCGATTGCTTCGATCAATCCAAACAAACATTATATTATATACATGAGTCTTTGACTTTTGACCATGTTAGCTTTTTTTCGATTGTATGGGATGCCAAAATCAATCCCAAAATGGAGGTTCATAGCGAGCAACCACTGATTAAGACCACCAAGGAAGGGGTTGTGATGCTATGGGCGCATCAACCAAGATTGTGGCAGCCCTATCAAACTAGTTCAACAAGAGAAGCATGACGTAGAACGTGAGCAGGTGCTGCAGGACAATTCAAACTACATGTCCGATTTGCAGTTCCAGGTTCCAGGTGCTTTAGCACGAGCTTTCAGCAATTACCATGGCAAAGTTCCATGCAATCGTACAGTTGGCTGTCACCAAAGCAGCATCAATAGTGAATGTGTTTAAATTTGTTTTTGTTTGGGGCACTCAGGATTAGGACCAGAAATTAATAAACAGTCAGCGAATAGGATTGCTGCACCCTGCAGTCCAAAGTGTTGGAATGTAATGTAGACACAGGGAGCCGCCAAGAGTCCCAAGAGTGGCGATGGCTACGGTGCAATGGTACGAGTATGTCTGAGTTTGCGGCTCCTTGGCCAACGTTGGCAGCAAAGCGCTTCGAAGTTGCTCCAGCTGTACCTGGCACACCCACGGAACACTGTTTCCTTCTCCAGGAAGTATTTAGGGCAAGAAGTACATCCTCCAATATATCAAGCCCAATCATCTCCCAGGGTGAGTACACCAAAAAGATAGCAAGGTTGTTGTCCTTTTGCGCCAAAGCTAAATGCTTCAAATCAGAGATGCTAAGTTTATCTTCATCAGAGGCCCTCCGCATCCCGCCATACATAGTGCCAACACAAAGCCCATCAACAGGTTTTCAATCAGCACCATCAGAGCTTTAGCAAAAGTTTAACACGGATTTACCACTGGGATGCAAAGCCTACTGGAACCCCACTTCCCGGCAGACAGATAATGTACGCAAGCAGGTCCTTTCAGACCTGACATCCCCTCAAAACTGGGAAAAGATTTGGCCCTCACTACTTGACAGGCTCTTCCTTGACCAATTTCGGGAAGTGTCGTTTGGCACTCCTGGGTCCAAGACAGGTTTGTATTCATGAAGATGCTTAACTCAGGAACATGCAATTGGTGCTGTGGAGGCAGTTAAGTACTTGAGCGCCGAGCCGAATCTTGGCCTCATTCTGCAGGATCTTGGAACACCTGATGTTCATGAAGTGATAACTTTGGTCAAGCGAAGGTGGCACACTAGGAAGCTTAACAGGTTGGTTGATCCTAGACGGTTTTGAAGGTTGCAATCTAGGCACGTGAAAGTCGAAGCCTTCATCACAGCTTCAGTCTCCTTGTTCCACCTGGGTTCTTTTGCTGATGATCGAAACAAACACCATCTTCGCACAAGTCCCAAGACAAAACTTGTTTGTCCTAACTAATGGGCTGTAGAGAATGCTGCGTTTGCGGTGAACAGATCAAGCATCCCTGCATTGCCCTAAAAACTGGCACTGCATGCCAACAGTACCATACCCATGCAACCAAAAAAGGTCCCAGCTACGCTTCATTGAAGTTGTCCCTCTCACCCTTGGCCATGTGATCACTCAGTATGGTATAGTCCTTGTCAAGGGCCTCCAAGTCCACATTGATAGCTTTGATGGACCTGGAAGATCGCAAAAGCACAAAGGTTAAATGTTGTATATTTGGGCTATGACCGTCTTCGCCATATTCATTGTTTCTGAGAAGGCACAAATGGGGCGCTCCCTCTGCGACATAGTTCTTTTGCAAGTCCGCCACCAAGGATCGAAGCTTGCTGATCTTCTGGAGGACACCATCGATGTGCTTCTGGAAGGTGTCTTTGGCACGGCAAGCCTGCGCTGCACAGTGAGTTAAATATTTTTTGGAGCACCTTATAAAGAATATAGAAAAATATATCGGGCTTAATCAATTTGATTTTACTATGTTGCAATGCAAGGAGTTCTTCAACCCAATCCAGCAGATTGTATACAAACTTTTTACTGCCTCAGACGTGGCCATCACCGCTTCACTTGCTTGCGCGCGTTGACGGAGTTTGAGTGCGTTCACAGACTTGAGATCCATATCACTCATCGTCAGTGACCCATCCTCCTAGGTTTGGGATACTTGCACTCTGGTAAGCTGCGAGAAGATCCGTTTCTACAGTGACTTTGGCATCCAAACATTCAGCGGTCCTCGCTCGCCTTTGTTTCCCTGGTAGTCTCAGATCGGTTGTGTTCCTGCTGATGATTTCCTTTCTCACGGACCTCCACGTAGTACTCAGCCCCGGAACCATATTTGCATTCCCTGGCGATGTTCAAGAAGTTTGAGAATCAAATCGATGTTGGTTTGCATGAGATACATGCAAGTGTGATATATACTGGAAGCATCAGCATCACACCTGACCAGATTCGCCGGATCTTGTGAACAGCATCGAATGGCGCCCTCGACTTTTTTCCTGGTCACACTCTGATGTTTCCAATGATTTGTACATAATCTATTGTATTGTATCCACATGTATCCACACTGTGATCTTCCTACAATCCTTCTTTTATCAACAAGGCTCGCCGGCCACTTCAAAAGCTTAAGCATGTCTTCTTTGCTATACCATCCGCACTCCACATCACTGACAGTCTTGTCACTCTTTGTGACACTGTTCTCCTTCATCTTGATGAACTTGTCCTGCAACAGTCAAAATTCATTGAGATTGAGATGGACAAATGTTCCTGTTGGCCTCAAAGGGGGTTAAATGACAGAGACAGTTGTTTGATGCAGTCTTGGAAACAAATATCATCCTTGTTGAAGCCCACGGATTGAAACTGTAGCGCCATCTTCAAATGGTCAGAGTTTTTCCATGTATCGTGGAGCCACTGTGGTACCTTCAGCTCGCCATTCTTGTTGGGTGTCATGAGCCTTCTAAGCTTGGCTTTCAGTGCGTTGTGATCCTGAGACCCACCCAACACCAAAACAGGACTCCAGAGTCCAGGAATTACAAAGCAATCCATAGCTTGAAGACCAATACCACTAATGTTTCCCCACATGACTCAACCATACCCTACCCCTCACCCACCCTTATATACAATTAGTGTCATATGATTATATATGATACTAAAGTACAGTCTTCGACGTGACATGCATGCCTAGAATCCAGCTTGTGCCGCTTGGCATCTTCAAAGACCTTGTCCAAATCATCCTGTTCCTGGTCCTCTGCAACCTTTTCAATTTCGATATGGGCACGCTTTCGAGCATCAAGGACATCTGGTGCAGATGCACTCGATGGTGCAGCTGCAGGGCTGGCCATATCCAAGGCTGCTTGCCCAAGGATTTGGGCAGCTGTGTCCGAATCAAGCAACCCGTCCTTCCACATGCCTAGCACACGGTCTGCAACCTTAGGATAAAAGGGTTTGGATCCAAAACCCTGGGGTTCAGGGAGAACATGTTCGTTGGAATGGTGAGCAACATAAAACACTTTGGGTTACCCTTCAGCTCTCAAATACCACCCAGCCAGGGAACTGCAGAACTTGTAGTTGACATGCGGGAAGGTAAAGACGATGCTGGGGACACAGAACGTCGTACAGGCGTATCTCGAACAACCCAAGACTTGTCAACCTTTTCAGTCTCCTGTTCTACTACCTTCTCCACGAATGCCAGAGATACGAGGACATCATCATCCGGCTTCTCCATCGCTTTCGGGATAGCCCGATGTTGTGGTGTGGCCTGGGCTCGGGTAATGCAGCAGGACATATGAAAAATGTAGGTTGGACAACATACTGAATACATTTTGCATTGCTCTAGCGTTCGTGATCCCACGATATGTCGCGTCAGGTAGTCACTCAAGGGACAGCACATCATACATGGCACATATATGTATCCTATAGATGCAACCCAAGAGGCTTGCTGCTGTGGTGTGTCACGCAGTTCAGCCAAGGCTTTTTCCTGAGCCAGAGCCATCGAGAACCACTAAGCGAAACTTGGCTTGGGGCAATTGGGCTTCGGGTCAACATGCTCAGGTGTGGCGGGGTACAAAAATAAAATCCGTTGAGTCTCAAGCCCCAAGGTCTGAGTGAGTGTGATACCCATTGCATAATTAGATCAAGTCAAGATATTAGGTTGAAGGTGAGAAGATCTTCACATTGTTACCGCCCTCAACCAGCTAAGCCCCAAACGCTCGACTCAATGGCGCCCATGTCGGCAAGAGCCTTTTCCAACTCCTGAGGTGGGACACCACGTGAAAAGAGGTCTGGTGGGCAAATTGAAAAAAAGAGTGAACCGGACGTGAACCAACAGGCTTTATATTCCTGAAAACTATTGAATCCTCAGAAGATTGGAAGACCCTCACCTCCAGCTGAGACAGATCATCTGGTAGTTCATCCTTGTTCAACACAATGTGTTCCAACGCCGCCCCCAAATCGTTAGTCGACCACGCACGGGACATCATTGACTTAGGAGTGTCCGTGCGCATAAACGCCATGAAGGATACACTTAGGAAGGAAACAGATCAAAGCGAGCCAAGAGCTCCCAATCGGAGTGTGGATGATGGATGAACCAACAACGATTACAATCAAACTTGTGTTCCAAACTGTCCATTGCCAAGTGCACTTTTGGCACGCAATGCGAGCTTGCGTGAAGATGATCCCCATGAAAGTTCGAATTTGACATGCCTGGCCTGCAGGGAGCCCTTTAGACTTATGATCAATACATAACCGCCATAATCAGATCTGGTTAAAAACGTTATAGTACCTAACATAATTCCATAAGTTTGTCGCTGGAGGACTTATTAGGTTACGGGTCGGTTACGGTCTGGCTACGCTCTGAAAAACCTGGTAAAACGCAAATAACCCATAATATATTATGGACGGATTACGGCTAATTACGGTCGGATTACGGTTCAGTAGGATTACGGCCGGAAGTGCAAAATTATAACCTGCTTTTTATTTGGGTTTTACGGTCGGAAGCTGAAAAAAACCAGGTTTTCCAAAAAGACAAGTAATTTGTTAAAAATATTATATACCATCAACTTGGACCCATGTAACTCCTAAAGTGCTGCAGGCATCAGGTCTCTAAAGTGGGAAGGGATCGCCAAAGACTTCCCACCTCTAAGGTAATGGCAAACGGAAGCCATTTGAGCCTCCTGCCACATGTCATCGTAGCGGAGACTGGCAAACACTTCGCTGGCCGAATCTCGCACCGGTGGCAAAATCGGCATACCTTGCTTCTCAGTTATCATACGTTTCCATAGAGACACCAATCGAATTCCAAATTTCCGAGGATAGTTCCTTAGCTTATCGTAAGATCGAACCGTGAGGATAAGGAGTCGTTTGGGTTTAATCAACAATTGTGTATAAGGACTGTTCCTTTCATGATCATTCATGATAGGTCAAAACAAAACAATCTCAACTAGGAAGAAGACGTGGAGCATAAACCCATCAACCAAGTCAAGAAACTAAAACCGGAAACAATTGATTCAATTATACAGGCTAGCATCTCACTGGAACGTAGGTTTTTGTTTCCCTTCCACCTTTTGACACCATTCTTGTCCACGTATTTGTCTACCAATCCCACCTTCTTGCCGTCCCGTTCTTTCTCTTCTTTATGTTTGACCCACCCCATGAGCTTCCCAGCAAACAGCCCACGAATATGGACACTGTTGGCAAAGGCATAATGCCTTTTCGGGCTTTTGCCTCCGTAGTGTATCATCCACCAACAGGTTTTGTGAACCTCGGCATGGGAGGAAGCAAGGTTTCTGGAACTATTGAACTTCTAGGCGTTTGAAATGGCTAACATCGGCGATCGTGCGCAAGCATCTCAGGAACATGCTATGCTCTACGTGGACACCAGACTACGCCACGTGTTTGGGAGGCTTGATTGATGCAGGAATGGGGTAAGAGAGTGGTGGAACACTGATAGTTGGGACAAGAAACGGCATGCCGACCCCCATGCTTCTGAATTTGTTGCACCAAATCTCTCCATCGGGGATAGAACTCAAAGAAAGAAGAGATGGGCTGCTCTAGCATGATGGTGCCATTCAAGCAGATAACCAGCATCATCAATAGGATCATCCTCAGAAGTAACCAGGATTGCATTATATGGCTTTGTGCGGCAAATATGGATATTGATTGTCCAACATCTTTTAGTCAACAAACATCAATTTTTACCAGGTTCCGTGAAGCAAGTAGGTTGGCTTCGCGGACAGATTGGTATTCAACAATGCCAATGGAGCAGCACGCGCTACGCCCACTTGTGCCCTGGTTCACCGCAGTCCACGATGAACATTTAAGTCCAAAATGGCAAAGCCAGCCATTTGTGAAATCTCCATGCAGAACCACAGCAATGGCTGCCCTAGGTAAATGTCAAGATGACGGGGTGGCACCAACAGATTTGTTTGGAGATACGTGGAAGGTTGAAAATCACCACTGACAACCAGCACTCATTGTTCTTTAGCACATTGCATGCAAATGAAAAAAACATCATAAGACTAGCCACGCCATACCCACTTCTGTGGTGAGATCCATCGGGTTGACATGTCCATTGTAGTCACGCATATAGTCAATATCGAGCTTGGCTGTGCGATGACCCGCCCATTGAAACATCCTCGATGCCTCCGCCTTGCCAGCAAAGAACTCGACCCAGCTCAGCCCAGCCTGCAAGGATGAAAGAAACATGTTTGTCGAGATCAACCAGCAAGAAAACAACACGCACTCTTGATAAACTGTCCTTCAAAGAATCTGCAGAAGAAATATTTGTCCATGTGACCAGAAGTACTGCCAGCATAAGGACCTGCAACACACCCCATCACAAATAAACACGTCTGAATTTGAACACATGCAGTTGCCTGCACTGAAATTCAACACACATGCGACTGCCAGTGCTCCAGATCCTGCAAGTGACCTTGGGCGCACCAAATGCGCGTAAGCGCCAGCACAAGTCATTGATGAACCTCTCACTGAAGGCCATAGCTTTTGCCAGAAAGCTACAGTGGTGAAAGGCGAGTGGCCCAGACCAACACGCAAGATATCAGCATGGAACAAAATGGTGCTCATTTGGACTGCGTTTTGCATGACCAAGTATGCAATATTTAACTGAAAAACACATGAACATTTTGGTATTAGTAGTCAACCATTATTTAAACAAAGAATCATGTCACGAAAGACTCATGGAAGCAAGATTGCCGCTGATGAGCACACATAAAACCAATCAACTCATCCAGACTGCGCATCAAACAAATGCAGACACAGTAATTCGTCCATAAACATGAAAAAACATCGATCTAAGAGCTCCATGTGGCACCCACAAAGGTGCACAAATTGAAGTTTGTTCCAAACCATCAAGTAAAATAGTATTGATCCAGTAAGAGTTCAATCATGTAAGGGGTACTCACTTCATCAGCAAGAAGACCCCGCTTCAAAGCCCATTTGTTGCCTCGAAGCCCAGGAGGTGGCATTTGGCCTCGGATCGCCGATGCCAGAGCAAGGAGCTTGACGGGGAAGGGGCAGGGTATGGCCAAAATTCGATCATACGCAGAGGGTCTGCACAGTTGACTAAACACTCAACATGAAAGTTTTTTGATTTCCACCCGAATCACCCTACCGAAATCAACAGCACTAGAGAACAGTCCACCCACCAGTCACCTAGACAGCACGTTTTCATTGACTTGAGCTTGCGAATCACCACCGCTCACGTGAGGTCCTCCCCACGTACCCTTCCAAGCCGCCAGTCAGTTGGGATCAGTGACCACTCTTTGGGCAATGGTCGGCCCCATATGCAGGCAAACACATTAATGAAGTGATCTAACAAATCAACTTACACATGATTCTAGGACATTGGTTTGCAAGGTCGATGGACATTGAAGGGTTACCTCAAGGCCTGGAATGTTCAAGGTCCATGTGTAACAGCCCCTGGCGCCTGCCTGCATATACACCCAGTGACCCCAATGACTAAGGAGGCATCTTCAGGGCTGCGATCTCATTGGCCACTTGGCCGCACAAAAGCACATATGTCACAGGTCAGTGACTTCCAAAATCAAAACATGGCCGTCGTGGAAGGATGGAACAATAACTACATTCAAGTTATAAAACAGTCATTGTGTTTCATTAATATGTTTATTGCCTTCCAACATCAGACCATATCCTTTGCACACACCATGAGTCAGTGCCTACTATCACATTTGTGTTTTTCTCATCGCTTGACCGGCGTTGTACTTGATGATAGCAACCTGCCGTTGGACATTTGAAGTAGGATCCTTGAAGTCAGCCGGAATGTTGCCGTGTTCTTTTTCCAGATAGGATGCCTCAAATGAAACTGACTCAAACACAGGTTCATAGGATGCATGGTGCGTGATAATCATAAGGCTTCATCCAGTCCAGTGTATCCATACCATTCGACTAGTAGAAGTTGTGGAGTTCAAACAAATGAAATATAACCATAACCAAAGCAAAAAGTGTCCAACCAGACAGGCCAGCCACAAAAAGGTTTGCGCTCACAAAGGCCAGCGTGATGCCATTGGTCCATGTCAAACTCTTACCAAACCCAAAGTATGTGAGGTGAGACCTGTCTGCCTTTTTAACCACTCCCACTGCCTTGTCCTTCCAGTAGTTGGAAAAGGCCACCATGTCAAAGTTGTCCCCGACCTTGCATTTGAGGTAGTCCTTAGTCTCTTCCTCATGAAGGTTCTCGGTCCTCTTGAGGTGGGTCATGAAGATGGCTTGCATCATAGTGTCCTCCATGTCAGCCGGCTGCAATTCCATCATAGCATCATTCTTTTCCTTTCTCCTTTTCTTTTCCTTCTTGACAGAAGGCGATTCCTGGATACGCTTGTTGGCTGGCTTGGCCTTGGCTTTGCCCCGGGCCTTTGCCTTAGCCTTCGCCTTTGCCTTGGCCCGGGCCTTTGCCTTTGCCTTGGCCCGGGCCTTCGGCTTTGCGGTCCTTCCACCCTCCAACTCTTCATCATCAACCTTCTCACTTTCACACAATTCCTCATCCTCAAGCGGATGTTCATCATCTGAGTCTTCCACTTCCACCTCCATAGCTTCAGGCTCATCTTCCTCAGCCGCCTTTCTTTTGTTTGTTCCCTTTGCCTTTGCCTTGGCCTTGGGCTTCTGCGCCGCATTCAATTTGGACCTGGACTTCATGGCCTGTTCTGGCATCACTTTCGCATCCGGCTTCATGGCCTTGACCTCCTTTGAGGCCTTTGCCATCTCTTCCTCAATTTGAGCATTCTTCTTCCTTGAAGGTTGGGGCTTGGACTTTTCATGCTTTTTGGGAACATAGCCCTCCAAGATCTGGTCCAAGGTTTTTGCCTCTCCAGTCATGGGGTCGAGGTAGAGAGTCGGACTCTCACTTTTGAGGTCCTGATTTCCATCCTCGTCGTCAGACTGGAAGAGCTTCTTCTTCGGGGTGCTAGGTGCCTCATCATCATCATTCTTTGCACGCTTCTTTGACCCCTGAGCATTCTTTTCCACTTTGGCCTTGGCCTTCCCTTTTGCCTTGGCTTTGGGGGCAGCAACGTCACCCCCCTTTTCTTCATCATCATCATGTTCAGTCGCACCATCGAGCTTCTTCTCCACAGCTTTGATTTTCTTTTCATCTGCCAGCTTCTCTTTCATTCTCAGCTGATCCCGCCGAGTGAGAACCTGGCCAGGGAACAGGTGGACAAAGGGTCAACCATCCAATTTTGGTTTTAACTTGCGTTGAGATATCTATATAATTTCGATCTTTAAACCTCAATCTTCTTGGACACCAAACGTCCATTGAACATGAAGTTAGGATAAACCACCTTTCCAAATAATTTGAAACCACACGCCTCCTCAATTGGGGCAGGTGGTTCGATTGGGGCAGTGGGTTCCTTCTCCTCACCAACCGGCTGGCTGCTGTCAATGCCATCCGCCTTGAACATAGGTTGGGTCTCATCCCAATCGGAAGCAGCTGTATATGTAGGAGCTGGCAGAGCGGTGCTTCCTGTGCATGACGGGTTTGCACTAATGGTTAGTTTTTGAAGGTTGCGGTTACTGTCATCCTTTGTTACTTCACTACAATCATCACAAAGGGCCATGGTGTATGCTTCAACAGGGTAATATCAGTTCTCGGATATGTGTGTGTTCAGTATCCACGAATTTGAAAATCATATTGCAGGATCAATCTATGTGGTCAAAACATACCTGCACCTGTAAGCCTGGCCGGGCCTTTTGCTCCCGAAGAATCCACTGGAACTGTTGTTCCCCCTGACCTTGGTCAGTAGGTGTGACGTGGAGGCTTTATAGGTTCAAAGCCTAGAGGGGTGACTGAGTCTAGTTTTGTTGCTGCCATCTACCCTTACAATAATTGTTAGTTTGCACGCAGTCTTAAAAACGGCCTCAGGACGTGACTTCTCAAGCTCTCCCTTCTGCTGAAGCTGCTGCTTCTTCTCAGCAATCAGAGCGCGGATTTGTGCAAGCCGCTCGCCTGAGCAGTGAAGGGTAAACACCTGTCAACATGAAACCATGGATTCATGGGATCAAAACAAAAACTTACAAAGTTCATATTCTGATGGTTCGAGATGCTCTGGGTTTGCGATGTCGAATCACCAGAAGGCTTCGGAACAATAGATGGAGGGGACATACTTTCTGACAAGGATTTGGGCTCACTAGATCTCAAGGGGTCCACCTCAGAACTCTTGGGGCTCACCTCCGCCGTTCTGGAGTCCAACCATGCGTTGAACGCAACCATGTCCACTGGGTCATCCGGATCCTCTTCCGGATCCTCCACCGCATCATCAGGGTCTGCAGTAGAGTCTTGACCCCGACGAGTTGCCATATAGGCTTCGATGTGATCCTTTGACAGTACCAGAAAGTCACAACAAATTCATGGGTCGGACATAGCTTATTCTACTGCAAATTCTACTGTTGTGTTTAAGATGGATTTGGAAGCCAGTGAGCGAAAGGGAACAGGCATGAGACAACTCTTTGTCCTCCTGATTTGGGTCCAAAGTGAGGTAGAGCTCGTGGAATGCAACATCCTAGCAGGGTGAAGCAGATAATCAAAGAGATAATTGAACACAATTGGGACTACAAACGAGGTGATCGTGACCAAAGATGGCCAACAATTGAAAACATATTCACTTGTTGCCTCATCAGCTAAAGGATTAGTACAATTGGATCCAATCCAACTCAAAACCACATAGCACCCAAAAAGCACAGATTGAACCTCTCGGCTCCTTCGTGCACTCTCCCCGATTGACTCGCCTCTTGACAAAGCCAGCAAGCCGTTTGATTTCCACAGCCGGTTGGTAGACCCCCTTTTCCGACACAGGGAGGCCCAACTTGTTGGCCAATGCAAGCAGCTCAGCCTGCAAAGGTTCCAAGTGGGGCAAAGCATTCTTCGGGTGTTCGGCCATTCTTCCCAAGATCGGCTTCAAGATCTCTGCGTTTTCTTTGCAGTTTGCCCTGTTCGCAACGCAGAACTTCTGTGTAGATGGGTGGGTGATCAGCTTGCCACAGCCCCTGACCTTCTCCCTCAGGGGAAGTAGCCCTTCCCAGGCCACCGCTAGCCCTCTACAGTCCATGGGCAAACCACAAAGGGTGAGTGTGCAATACAACAACTTATTGATCCAGAAACAGGCTGCAGCAATCCAAACAATTCTAAATTCCAACCAGGGTTTCAGGGCATGCCCGTCCACCCAAGGAACTCTCCACAGCTGCACCCAACTCCGACCGCTGGAGAGAAAAAGAAAAACGGACCTTGGGCCCTGGCAGTGGTTCCAAAGGTGACGAACTCGTCCACGACATAGACATGCGGTCGCGATCGGTGACACATCGATGACATGACGCGTACGGAAGGTTTGGTGGAACAACCACACCAAGAATGAACCCATGGTTCTACATCGATCATGGTCAAGTGCCACCTGTTCCATATTTGTTGTCATGTTGGTTCTTCTCGATCTAAAACATGTTTACACGATGTCATTCCGTCCTGCATGGAACCCTCGAGCAACAACACATATCTCAGCCAAGGACTCAATTATTCATGAAAAACCTGACGGAAACCAAAAACCTGGTTTTTTCATTGATTATACATAAAACCAGGTATTGCGATTTCCACCCAAAAAAAAGTTGACGACAGACTCAGTAGGTATAGAAGTCCAGTTCGACTACTTGTTTCCACCGAAGTGTTAGACGCACAATACCTGGACGCGGGTCACATTGGAGTCTAAGCTCTGTTGAGCTCTGTTTCAATCCCTCTGGGTTATCCCCGCGGGGTCGATGGGTCGTTGAGAGCGTCCAGTCGGTCCTCTCGGTGTCCCTCCGTTTGAGGGTCTTTCACCGGGGCCATTGGGGACTTCGGATTCGGATGCTGTGCCAATGGCATGGTATTTGTCAGACAGGGAGATCCCTTTGAACTGGTTGTCGACTGGGTGTCGACTGGTCGATATTCTGAACTCCGACAGGATCGGGGATCGGGACGCCTGGGTCGAAGGAGTGGGTCTCCGAATTTTGATACATAATTAGTCTTGGACTTCCATGCATTCTGAGAACTGTACGACTGTACGACCCTGTCTCCTGAACTCGCAGACGATGTTGACAGGGTTGGCGAGATGACCTTGAAAAGACAGGGTTCTTCATCTAATGGCTTCATGGATTCCATTGCATTTTTCCTGTTAGACCCGTTCTTTGTCACGCTCCACTTCATGGATCTTCATGGATTCTAGATTCTAGGGCCTCTCCCTGAACTCACAAGGCACTCCAGGTATCTTCAGGTAACCAAAAGCGCGGAATCTGGGCCTGGATCCCTAGGATCTCATCGTGGCCTTTGACACCGCCAAGTTTCGCCAGGAGCGCGACTAGAGGGCGCGAAGGGAGCGAAGGGCCGGCAGTTGCTAAGGGGTTTGACCTGAGGGTGTGCAAGTGGCAGATATGTTTTAATAGGGAGACAGTTAGGGAGACCCCTGGTCCAATGGGTAGACTGGTAAGTTTTTCTTCCGGCTTGAACTGGGAGATCTCACTGTTTTGATGCACTTACGGTCACACCTATGTGGTCAAGGATCTGGGGAACACCCGTGAGCAGTGGTGTAAAATCGAGTGAACACAAGTGAACATCCCAATAGCGTTGGTGCTGTGACAGGGGCTTCAGAGGGTCCACAGTGGCGCCATTTCACTGAACTGATGGTGGGAGAGCTCGAAAGACGGTGAAGTTGGCTGAGGCCATCCGCTTTCATCAAAGCATGGGGGTCAACAACGACCTTGGTCACCTTTCGGAAGGGCATACCCTGAAACAAGCCAGGGGAATGCTGTTGAGTTTCTGTTCCATCTACACATGCCATGGTTTGTTTGATGAAGAGGACGTTGGAAGGAAATCCCTAGAGACAAGCGCCTGCCAATCTTTGTGCAGATTAATGAGGGTGTGACGTTCAAAAAGAATTGGCTAAGAGTTCTGAGCTTTCAGGACTGTATGGACTGGGGGTCCAGCAAAAGATCGAACTCAGGGCTTCGCAAGTGGCTTCGCATGAAGGTATCCCCTTGAACTTCTTGAAGACAGGATTTCAATCTTGCTGCCTTAGACAGGTGTTTGCCCTAAGAACCGGGTGAGTTCAGTCCGTTTGTCCGTTTTGATTGAGATACTGGTGTGTTTCTATGCACTAGTTGATCTGGTCAAGTTTTGTTGGGAAGTTAGTCTCTTCACTTTTTCCAATATCCCTGCTCTCGTGCTTGTCACTTGGATCGACTTTAAGGCTCCTTCGAAATCTTCAAGATGAAGATCACCGATATATCTATATCGTCTATAGCTATATGGTTGTATAATATATACATACATTACATACATATATACACATGCAGATATTATATATAATCTTGTTTTTTTAATCAGAACATGGCCGGACAGCCACGTCTTCGGCTTTTGGACCCGATGAACAGGATTGACATTATCTTGGTCAGGTCTCCATCACCTGTCTGCTGAAAAGCAGCCTGGTGCTGGTTTCAGGCCTAGAGGTTTAGCTGCTTTAGCTGTTAGCTAGCTAAGACTGAATAAACACGTACATTGGGGTGTTGAATGGTTCGAGAGAGAAAAAACACATATAACATACATATTTAGAAGCTGCCTGGAGATATATATAAGATGAACTTGAGAATGTAGATTAATAACAATGACCACCTGTTGGTCGGGTACCCTCTCCTTATCACCTGAAGGCAGATGGATAACGCCCGAAGTGTGTTTTTGATGAAGGAGTACGCCGACTACGTCAAGGCAAGGCAAGTGACATGGTCAAAGTCGAATACGCTGAACCATGCTCCGTGGTTTTGCGGAATCTTGTGGAGCTGATTCTTTTCCTGGTTCCCGGGTCCATCCCTGACATTGGGGGAAAGAGATGTGTTCGGTTTAATTGTTGGCTCCCGGTCCCTGAAGAGCAAATCCAGTACGACCCATGTTCAAATCCATGTATCTAGTTCTGGTCCCAACTGGTCATCTAGCAAAGGACACCCTCTTCCAGCCTTTGACCTCGAAAAAACGCTTCATAAAGGGAGGCAAAAAGGTCTGGATTGTTGCGTCTTGTGGAAGATGGAGGTGGATCCCAGAAGTTTACAGAGCGGCCTTGCACTGTTCTTCCCAGAGCAAGTTGATCAATCACTTTGAAGCACAGCCGAGAAACATCCAGTCATATCGAGTCGTAAGGCATGATTGCAGTGCCATGATTGCGGTTTCTCCCCGACGGCTCAAAGCATTTGCTGTGCCAGCCCAAATCACCAGTGGCCTGGCTGAGAGGATGGCGTGGCATGATCGATGGATGGCGGGCCTTGGGGCTGGTAATTCTTGTCCAAGAAAAGCCAGAAGACCACGGAAGCCAATAATTTCTTAGGTAAATTCATGTAAATTCTAGATTTCTGAAACATTCATTTGGCACAAGCATCTCGCACCTGAAAATGGACGACCGCCACAAAGCAACCGGTGAGTTATATAAATGTCCTCAGTATAATATGTTAGTCAACATACAGGTGTCTATGCCGTATAACACTTGTGGATACTTGTGGCATACATAGCACAAGCAACATCTGTATATCAGTCCTCTTCAACTGATATGGGTTGTTTCCCGTACTGGGACCCTGCAGTCAGGAGACCAATGAGCTGTACTCAAAACCCAGACAAATCATGGGACTGAAAGTTCAACATCTAAATGTCAAACCCTTACAATCCATTGTCTAAAAATCCCAATTCGAGGCAGATCATGGGGTGCTTCTTCATTGACTTGGAAACCTGACAAAAACAGAAAATCCTACGCATCCAATGATTGGACAGGAATCTTGACCCACATTGATCCGTAGATGCCAGGCTGCCAGTCCCATAAGTGCTTGGGATACCACTTTCCAGGGCATGCCAACCAGTGCCGACGGCACATCGCATGGCTTTCGGCAACTTGGCTGAGGTGATCAACTCGACTTAGTCGTCAGTTCCTTTGAGCACCATGGGCAGCCCAGACGCCGTTGGAAGCCCAGGGGGTCAGCTGCAGCTGGCCGTGTAGACATGAGCCCCAAAAACACATTTAAAAGCATCATCACTTCGTGCCCAAATCCTAATATATAGATCTATACCCATGGAAGTTCACGCAACGAAGTTTGCATGTGTGAAACTATGTGAAACTGACCTTGCGCACGACGTCAGATTCTTCCTCAGAAAGACCCCGAGCGCATCCGAGCGCTGAAACCCCATGGAGTATCAGTCGACCTGTTCGTACGAAGTACTAGGCCCCCGTGACGTTCTGTTCCAGTCATGTCAACGAAGGGGTCGTCCGTGCTGGTCCCATTCCGAAGGGAACGGGCACGGCT